GCGAGTGGTGAAAAAGCCAGGGAGAGAGGGAGACACGCGGTCATCGGAGAACTTGCAACGTTGTTGTTGCAACAGGAAGGGCTCGACAGAGTAGCGGCAGCACGGCACGCTACTGCTGTGCTGTTACAGATCGAGCGCGGTGCTTCACGTGGACCATCTCTCAAGGTAGTGGGTGCTTTTGGCGGAGCAGCAGAGTGTGCTGGATGTTTTATGTGTTTTCGCACCTACCCTTGTGCCTCTGAAAAAGGAGGTATCCAACACACACACACACACGCGGGTGCTCGCGCGAAAAAAGGCGGCGAGAGCCCTCGGCTCTCCTGTGGTTGCTCTCCCACGAAGGCGCATGTGTTTGTCCTCAAAGCTCTGCCTTGTCTCTTCCGGCGCTTTTGGTTCAGACAATGTCGACGGGTGGAGAAGCAATGGTGGCGACGGCGGTGGCTGCTGTTGTTGCTGACGGAGGAGGAGGTGAGACTGATTTTGCACCAACACCAAAAAATTGCATGATGCTCTGATGACTGAACTTTTTCGAGAGGGAGGGCAGCAGGTGGAGAGAGAGAGATGCCCACAATTCTTCCAGCGCTGGGAAGACTGCGAGTTGATACAGGCACAGCCGTCCCTTTGTCACCTGCTGGGCACCCTCCTCATCGCTGGCCTGTCTCTGTAACAAGCACGAAAGGCACGAATCCTAGCAGTGTAGAAAGAGTGTTGCTGCCTTTCGCCCAAAAAAGATTTTTGTGCAAGGGATCTACCTCCCTCTCCCGACAAAATGAAAATGAGCGTAGAAGTATTCGGTGGTTTTGGTGGGGTACAAGTACAGCAGTCAGTGCCGAAATGCTGTAGGTCTGCAAGCCATAATTCCCGCACGCAAGCAAAACGCTGGAGTTGCATGAGCATGCCAGCAGTGTGTGGTATTATATTGAACGCGCCGTGCACGCCGTGCATGTTTTTGACGTTATATTGTAGCAGCCTGTGTGTGTATTGTATGAATCTACTCGCGCATGCACGCTCTTCGCTCATGAAGCGGTTCTTCTGCTCCTCTAGCGCCAGACTGTCAGGCTGCTACTGCCACGTGCGACTGCTTCTGGCGACCTTCTGGTTCAGACAGAGCACTTTGTATGTTCCAGTCTTACCGCTCCAATTCTTTAAGCCCTGCTTTAGACGTGACCAAACCTCTGATCGATATGTTTCCTTCGTGAGAGGCTTGGGCTTCCATGTCATCTCCGTCGTTCGTGCATCATGCAGCGAGAGAGAGACGGTTCGTGCTACGACAGCACTCGTATGTATGCAATGCGTCTGCATACACACCGCGTTTGCCCCGAAGATACCTTGCTTCTTGCCCTGTGCTCGAATCCTGGAGCACTTCTGTTGCCCAGGCAGACACCCTGCTATGTAGATTACGTCCACATACGTAATGATTCGTTGGGGCAGCATTTTTGAACGTCGAAGGCGGGGAGTTGAAGCGCAACGCACATTTAGGTTCCAATCAATCGTTCGTGGCAAGTGGCAAGCCTGCTTGTTGCTTGTTGGCCTATTGCTGGTCCGTTTCTGAGGCCAATGGAGTCCGGTTATTGGTCCTTCGGATTCCAACTGGACCAACTACCCCATACATGCGAATCAAAATCGGTATACACGTCCGAGTGACTATTTAGCTCGAGAAAACGGAGATGTAAGTATGCATATGTATGTGGTTTCTCTCGTCCATATATCGCACCGCAAAAAGTGTTACCTCGAACTTGAGAGAGGGGAACTAGAAGTTACACCATCGGTATTTATTTTGTATGTACCTCATCCTTCCCTGCCATGGAATTACAATCGAAGAACGCATGCTAGAAGTACATGTCAGTTATGACCCCAAATTCATTTTTCTCAGTTTATTAGTGTAGATTTCAGGCCGTCTGGAAGCTGGCGGCACTGGGAACGACGGTGCGCTATTTAATTAAGGAAAAATAAATACACAAGACAGAAAGACTACCCATTCGAGATATACCCACAGTCGAACGGGATGTGGTGGAGTCTTTTCAGTGAGTGGAGGAAAACCGGCTGGGTACTGGACTTATTTCGAGTCTTTTTTTAAATCTATACACTGATGATTTATATCAATGATGCCAGCTGGTTTATTTAATGAACTACTACTGTTCAGGATGCTAAAAAGAACAATATTTTGTCGACGGGCGAGGGCCGCGTGGAAACGTGTGGGTGGGTGTATTTTTCTGAAGGATTAACTATTAGCATGACATCGCTATAGGTGTGGTGTGCGTGTGCGGTTTTTTCTTGCTGACCCGTGAGCCATCGCGAGTCTCGGGAAGTGAGGAACGACAAATGAACTGCTGCGACCAGCTGCTATTGTTTACGTGAAGTATTAGTGTTCGAAATGTTCATGCAATCACAGCAGTTCGTACCCGTTCGAATAAGATTGATGAGTATGCTGTATTATAGGTATGACCATCGACCGCGCAATATGCTTACCAATGAATATGCGCCGGTTGCAAGGGTCCGGCAAATTGTCGCATTCGCTTTGAAGGGGCCACTCCGTAGAAGTAGGCCCACGGTCCTGTGAACATCCTCCTGCCGTAAAAGCGCGAATCAACGCACCCACCGCCTCAGACAAACTCTCGTGACCCCATTGAAGGGTGCGTGCCAATTCCGAAACGGGCGTTGTTGGAAACATGTGGTCGAGAGCTTTGGTTGCATGTATCGGCCGTTCTTCGCAGTCCGTTGGTCGTGAAGCAATCGAGCGGGCTGTGAACAACGGTCAATGTCTAGGGGGGGTGCGATGTCTCGCGCTTTTGCGTTACATAACTGCTGCAAGTGCGTCTTGGGGGGGCCGTAAATGCTGCACGCAGGGGGCCCAAGTGGGGGCATTTATCGAACTAAAGCCAGCCGAAGCCGAGATGCCATTAGCATTGGTTGCTTCAGTTTTTGCTCTACCGACTTTCGAATGAGACGTTGCTTTAGTACGTCGAGCCACCCGAAAACGTCGGCGTTTCCCCATCATGGTGTCAAAAGATCCAGGTCGGCTAGACCAACAGCCGGCCGGACCCGCTGCTGGCTGTGTAGTCGTGAAAATTTGCGTTGTCTTTTGGTCTTCGTTTATTGAACCATTATTGTGGAATCGGGTCCTGTCCATGGCATCGAGAGAAACGACTCGCTAAGCACAGCCCCCCCCCTCAAACACCATTTATTGTTTTTCAACAGGCCAAGACTCTGGTGCCGTCTCGGCGGGCGCGGACCCCTCGACCGGCCAGTTCCCGGACCAGCCCCAGGACCAGTCCGCGGACCACTCCCAGCAGGGTTCCGCCGCACCGGCCCAGGCCTACAACGACGGTTACAACAACGGGGGCTCCGGGTATGGGTTTGGCGGTCAGCAGCAGGGGGACATCGGAGGCGGCTTCAGGGGCGGAGGAGGAGCGGGGCAGCAGCAGCAGCAACAGCAGCTGCAGCAGCAGGGGTACGGAGTCGGTGGTGGTGGCGGCGGTGGTGGATACGGTTATCCTCAGTTCCCGGGCATGAACATGGTGAGGTTGTTGAGATTTTGGCAGCTAGGTTGCTGTGTAGAGGGTACGTGCATGCCGTCCACATCGGGTGTTGCTCGTTACAGTACCAGCGCACAACTGGGGATGGCGCAGGTTTTGGGGGGACAAGCTTAACCTTTGGACGGATCGATTTGTCGGCGAAATTGTAGTGGGTTGTTCCGACTTGGAAGTACAATAGGACGGATGGGATTGCCTCAAGGATGCAGCGTTTCCTATCGGGGGGACCCAAGAGGGTTTTGACGAGAGGACGGCAAGCAGTGAGAGGGCGTGGCCCTGAGCCGCCGGAATGTTTATGACGGAGGTTTGCTGGAGAAGGTGGTATATTTGCTTCTGTATCTCGGAAACGGAGAATTCATGGTCATGGAGCTACGCGTTCTGAGCGGGTGGTCAATAGGTGCATGTCTGGCTACGTACAGTGAGGTGCCCGTCATGTAGAGCTAGCTTATCTGATATTCTAGTACTTACAATACAAGTGGGGAGGGGGTCCCATCAGTTCACTCTGAGGGGGCGCGGGAAAGGGCGGGCGTGGAGCGTTCTGTCTCTCGTGCTGTCGGAAGGTGTTGCGAGTACCGGATCAACTGTTGTTGTCATTCCTGATGCTGGCGCTGATGGGGTGGTGGCACCTGTACTTATCCGCTATAACCCTTGTTTGCATGTTGGTTCTACCCTCCCCCCTGCTCAACCGCTTTGACTCATGTACACTTTGGCCCCACCCCGCCCCCCGGTCTCTCTCTCTCTATCTCTCTCTCTCGTTCTCTCTCTCTCTGCGTCTGTCTCTTTTCAGTACGGCCAGTCGTTTCAACAGCCGTACAACCAGGGGGGTTACCCAAGCAAAGCCTCTCAGCTACCCCACGGCCAGCTCCAGCACCCCCCGATGAACACCTCCTACATGAACACCTACGGGAGCGGAGCGGGGGTAAGTCATGACCACCAGTATTTAGACTGAGAGGCGGGTCTCCGGAGTGAGCCCACCAGAGCATAGTAGTGTGCATAGCGTCATGAAGGCGTGATGCAAGATGCACTTAAAAGCTTTTTGTTGGCGTGAATCATCAGTGACGTTTTCCAAGCTCAAAACAGCTCACACGGGTGATCTGATACTCTGTTGACTCGAATAGAAAAGCCCAGCCTACCTTAATGAACCAAAATAAAACCTTACAAATCTGTGTATGTACAGTCTTATGTCTCCCACCACAAGAGCAGTGGACATCGGGCGATCAAAATCGCCCCTAACCGTCCATCTATCCGTCGACCCCATTTCAGGGAGATGGGTCAGCCCAGACCCAACAGCCGCAGCAGCAGCAGCAGCAGCAGCAGCAACAGCCTAGTGGCGGGTGGATCGACGGAGGCGTGCGCGAGCGCGGGGGCGGGGGCTTTTCCGGCCTCTCCGCAGAGGCGAACGGCTTCGTGCCCTCTAACTTCACCCCCGTAAGCGGAGTCGCGGGCGGCGGAGAGGTAGTAGGCGGCGGAATGGGCACCGGTTCGGCACAGGTATGTTTCGATCCGTTGCACGCGATGTTGTTGACGTATAGGAATCCAGTGCGTCATTGGACTTGATTTAGTTTTGGAAGTTGTTCTATGCTCTCCTCGAGTGACATCATTTTTTTTCTAGGTGAGTGTTGAGGGCCACACGGGATATCTAAACGTATCCGTGAACGTCAACCCGCCCCTCCTCCTTTTCTCGCTTGGAGAATAGGGAACGGGGGATGCCAACAACAACGCCTCCTCGATGTCGTCTGCTGGCATGGGCGGCGGCGCGGTGGGGGTTGGCGGTGACATGCCCGCCTTGCCCACGGCGCCGTCCTCAACGGCGACGTCAGCGGTAGGATGAGCGCAGCAGCAGCCGCAGCAGCAGCAGGTCTCCGCGGATGACGCCTCGTCGTCGCCGCCACCGCCGCCCGCGCCCCAGAAAAGGACTACCTCCTGGGCGGATATCGTCCGCCCGGAAGGGTTTCGATCTTCCGACCAGAAAGCGGCGGCGGCGGCGGGGGCTGCGCCGCGCTCGACCAAGGTTAGTGCCTACTTGATAGTAGATAATAGGCCCCCCGCCGTTGCCGGAGATTTTTTGTGTGCGCCCCCCCCCCCCCAACATGCCTGGTGATGTGAGAGCATGGTCCTGTGAGCTCTGTCCCGACTTTTGTAGTAAGGGAGCAAGGTCAATGGTCTAACGACTACACGGCCTGCACGGCTATGAGCACGAACATACCCATGCCGCTCTCTTGTGTTTGTGCTTGGCATCGTCGCTCAAAGGCTGCTTACAAGCATTGACTAGTTCAACAATAGTTTAACCCCCCCTTCCCATCTCACCGCCGTCTACAGGCGTCGACGAGTCAGCCGGCAGCGGCGGCAGCGACCTCTAACGAGGTCTCCGCTATGCTCAACACGCCGGGGGCTTTCCCCGCCCCGGGCGCCTACTCCGGTGGGGGGGTCGGGTACAGCGGGCTTAGCGCGGGTCCCTTCGCGGCATCGCCCCCCCCCTCGTCGTCTGCCTCAGCGGCAGCGTCTTCCGGGCGGCGGCAGCAGCAAGGTGTGTGTGTGCGCTCGTGCTTGTTCGAGCTTAACGTTTCGGTGCAGGCGGGAGAGGGAGCGGCAAGGATTGTACGAGGTTCTGATAGAGCGGGACGAAGGGCCCGGTTTTTTGTCGTCGACGTGCAAGTGAAAGTGACCTAACCTCTCAAGTACCACCGTTCTGTAACGGTTACGTTTCGTGATTGGATGGTACACATTGCTGAGCTGCTGCTGCTGCTGCTGCTGTTATCGGAATATTTGTGGTTCGGTAACGTCGCCTTATGTTGTTGTCAGCCAACCGCGGCGGATGCGGAGTATTGTCGAGTCCGTGCCAAACGGTATATCTTTACCTACATGGTGGAAGTTAAAATTGTAGGGGTGATTTTATCCGCGTCGGCTGTTTTCGGTCTACTGCCGTGGTATTCCCGAACAGGTGCTGGTGGAAGCGGTGTCGCCAATGGAGGAGGGCTGGAGGGCGCCGGCGGCAATGACAACAGCAACAACCAGGTTCTCGGGGGCGGGGAAGAAGGAAGCACCAGCAGAGGTTTGCCCGTGCCGGGAGATGTCGCGGGTGACCAGGCCAAAGGGGATGCAGGTGGTCAGGCGGGAGCGGCGGCGGGAGATGCTACGGCAGTGAATGGGGGCTACAACAACAGCAACAACGGGTACCCGCCATATCAGCAGCAACAACAGTACTACCAGCAGCAACAGGCGGGCGGAGTTCCCGTGGGCGGCGGCGGCGGCGGCGGCAGCGTGATGGACGGAACCGCCAACGGGATGTTCCCCGCTGCAGGCGGAAACGGCGTCCCATCTCAGCAGCAGCAGCAGCAACAGCTCGTACCAGCAATGTTTGGGAACGGTGGAGGGCCCGGCGGCGGCGGCGGCGGTGCCGGTGGTAGCGGCGTTGGCACCCTCGGCGGCGGCGGCGGCGGCGGCGGGGGGGGGGTCGTCCGACCGGGAATGTTCGGGATGATGGGTCCCCACGGGGGCATCGGGAACGGGGCCCCGCCCCTCGGATAAGTGAACGGCGGGCCTTTCATGGCGGACCCTGCCGCCATGGGAATGATGCATCAGCACATGCCGCCGCACATGGCCGTCGGGGGTTTCCAAAATGGCTTTGGTGGGGGCGGTGGCGGCGGGGGGGGGTCCGCGCAGCGCGGGGGGTACGGCAGGAGAGGCAGGGGTGGCGGTGGGGGGGGGCGTGGGGGTTACAAGGGGCGAGGGGGCAACGGGAGGTTCGCGGGGAACAACGGCGGGCGCGGTGGTGGGATGCAGGTGGGTAGCGAGCGCGGTATTTTGTTGTGCTATGATTTTGTTAGGAAAAATACACTACAGAAATACTACCCATTCGAGATATACCCACAGTCGAACTTGTTGCGGAGCGAGCGGGAACCTCACGATTGCACAACGAGTCGACCATGTATGTATAGGTCGATGCATTTATGGGAAAAACTTCGCGTTCGTTAAGACAACAGCAGCAGTTAGCAGCAGCAAGTGAGGTCCGCTGTGTGGCGATACGCAATGCTGGGGAAGGACTCCGATTTAGGGAAGCAAACGGGCCGAGTTGGTGTGGGTGGTTAGTGTTGGCAGAGGGGGAGAGGGATTCCGATGTCGCTTCAAAGCCATCAGTAATAACGGGGCCAATGTTGCCGGTGTATGTCAGCAACATTGGCACCGATGTTGAAAGCTGGATTGCCCCACTCCCATGTGGGTGCCATCGTCGGAAGAGAAGTGCTGGGAAAGGCAAAGTTCTCTGTGAGATCTTGCTGACGCCTCCCTCAAGGCACAAGATCAATGCTTGCCTACGGTAGAGGGTTTTCCCAATTCTGGCTGTTTTTCTGGCATCATCCAACCATATGCAGTCGTGCCCGCTTTGAAGACGCTCGGGTTAGGTCAACGATGAGAATTTCTCAGAACCATGGTGCCTGTGTGTTTTAAATGTAGGGGGGATGCAAACCTTCAAGACACTTCCCCGCGTAGTGGACGCTGTTCAGAACACGAACATGTGCGTCTTTTACAGCGGGGGTGGTTGCATCCCCAACGCTAGCCCCCGCCCTCACGCAACGTTCAGCTTTTTCTCGGCCTTCCGATGCCGTTGTAATATTTTCCTTTCCCCTTCGCCCTATCGGACAGGCGTTCGGCGGCAACGGGGGTGGCATGTTCAACCCTTACGTGGCGGCACAGCAGCAGGCAATGATGCAGCAGGTACGACGCTCAGAGGGCAGACGATTGGGTATGGCGGTGGCCGAAAGCGTGCTCGCATGGGTGTTGGTTCTCCTCTGCGTACTTGACTTGTGCCACACGTTCCCTTCCGTAGTAGCACGGGCGTGGTTGGGGGCACCGTGGTGGTGGTGATGCTGGTCAGGTTGGTGTCCTGCTTACCGGGGCTTGGGGGGTAAAACGGAGAAGATAAAGCTAAAGAAGGAACATCGGGTCACCTGGTTTACAGTTTATAAAACTATTTGAAATTGAAATTGATGCCTTTTGCAACACCCAGTTGATTTCTTCTTGCGCCCGCGCCCCCTCCTGACCACCTCAAACCAAGCCTAAACCTTGACGGTTTCCCCCTGTTTCCGAGCGTGTCGTGGTCGCGCGTGTAGGTGTAAGAAAATAGAAGTATGGAGTACTAGGGTACTGCCACCATTGGTGAACAATACCAAAAGGACTTTGCGGGAAATTCTGTAGGCGAGCGGTGGGTTCAGGCTGCTGCATACTGGGCTTTGTTGAGTGTTTTTTGTCATCGCATGGAGAATCCGCTCTTGTCAGCCGGAACCAAACACCCAGCAAGATATGTGTTGTAACACGTGACATAACTCCACCTGCAAGTCGTTGCTGACGGTGTTTTGTTTGATCTTCCGTCCTCGTGCTCCCTTGTGCGTGTCCGCCGCGGTTTCCCAACAAACTTTGAAACTTTCCCCTGTCCGACTTGGAACCCCCCTGAAGGCGTTCATGATGCCGATGCCCGTACAGCTCCCGGCGCACGTCTCGCTCATCAACGCTCCGTCCTTTGATCCCGAAGCAGCGGCGGTCGAGGGTACCCGGTGAGTGTTCCCTTGCCGACCCCTCCTCCCCCCTACATACCCACGGCACCCCCACTTTAGAGCCTCGCCAAAGCTCGTTTTTCTTGGTTCCCCTGTGGAATGACCCCAACGGCGACTACATCGTTTTTTTTGTGTGTAGGGTCCTTGGGGAAGCACCGGTTTTGATGGTCAAGTCCTCTCGAATTTGTTTTTTTTCGGGCCGGAAGTTCTGGACGCCAGGGTTACTGAAGTGGTCGTGCGTTCTGTAGAGAGCTGCCGGTGTCGTCGTCGTCATCGTTGTTGCTTCTGACGACTACGACCAGCGCACCATGACACGAGACATAGAGTGCTGTTACTATTTTCCTGAAACACGTTTGGCTGTGGCAACACTGGTGTACTTGCGTTTGTTTCCTCCCAAAACCAACTGAAGAAGTCCCCCCGTCCCCCTCATTTCCTGTTCATGTTTTTTTTTGTTGTTTTTTTGTCAGGTTTTTCGTGATGAAAACTTTCTCGGAAGATGACATTCACCGCTCCGTTAAGCTCTCGGTGTGGTCTGGCGGGGAAGCGACCAACAGGCGCCTCGACGCCGCCTTCAAGGGTATCAAGCCCAAGGACAGCGGTGCGTTTTTGTTTTTTTACTTTTACTGGTTTTCCGTTCCGTGCCACTGACTCGATTGATTGATTTGTCATGTTTTTCGGTCGGTTTCGCTGAGGCTATTTCTCTTGTTGACATTTACGGCAGTGTGTTTCCAGGATTTGGTCGCTCGTGTACCCATTCCCTCCAAGATGTCCTTGTTTTTTTTTTCTTCCTTGATGTTTGTTGTCCGCGACAACGCCGTGGTTTTCTCCGATCTGACTTGGCACGCCGGCGTGTCCTCCCTGTTGCTACTGGTACCCCGCCCGCTTCAGGCAAGGGAGGAGACAAGTCCTCCAAGGATTCCGGAGATGCCGCGGGCAAGGACACCACCGCCTCGTCGTCCAAGAAGAAGGGCAAAAAGAAGGGGGGCGGGGGCAAGACGGCCGGAGAGGACAAGAAGGCCGGCGGCGGCGGCGGCAGTGACGAGAAGGCGGCTGCAGCGGAGGGGAGCGAGGGCGCCACCACTGCCGCCGCCGTCGGCGGCAAGGACGCTAGCGATGGCGACGTCGAGAAACCCGTGTCGGAGGGGGTAAGCGTAGCCGGCGACGGGGCCCCCGAAGATGCCGGGAATGAACAAGCCGCTACTGCCACCGCCTCCGAAGGCGACGACAAGGAGGAAGAGGAGGAGGAGGAGGAGGAGGAGGAGGAGGAGGAGGAGGAGGGCCCCGCTGCTGGTGGCGAGACTGCTACCGCTAAGGGTGGTGACGCTGCCCCGGAGACCACCGCCGTTCCTGCCTTAGACAAATCCTCTTCGAGTGCCGACGCCGGGGCCGGCAAGGGCGGGACGGCGTCGGAGTCGGCTGCGGCGGGGGCCGGCAAGGAGTCTCCCGTGGCGGAGGAGGGTGCCTCGGACGCCGGCGCTAAGGACGACGTGACCGACGATGCCGCGGACGCTAGTGCTAGTGCTAGTGTGGAGAAGCCTGCTGCTACGTCGGGTGATGTCAAGGAGGATAGCGCCGCCGCCGCCGCCGCCGCCGCCGGGGACGCGAAGAAGGAAGATGGTGGAGCGGCAGCCGCGGAAGGCGGGGAGAGCGGCGGCAAGCCGGACGGGAAAGAGAAGGCCTCCTCGGCAACAACTGGGAAGTCTGCTGCTTCCAAGGAGAAGGAGAGCAGTAGCGGCGGCGGTAAGAAGGCGACTGGGGGCACCGTCGCGACAAGCGGCAAGGGCGGCAAGGGGGCCGGGCGCGGCAACAAGAAGGCCCCGCCGGTGTTCTTGTTCTTTTCGGTGTACCAGTCGGCCCAGTTCTGCGGAGCCGCGCAGCTGTGCGGTCCTCTGGACCACCAGGGAAAGAAGGTTAAGGTGAGCCCTAACGCGTTTTATTTATTTATTTTTTGCTGGACATCGGTCATGTTGCACCTTCTGGTACAGTTTCTGGATGCAGCTGGCCGTGGTGGGTATACGGTGCCGTGTCGGTTCCGTCATGCGTGCGTTCTCCCTGACATGGCCCAGGCGTATTATCCTCTTGTGCATGGTTTAGAGTGATATATCTTGCTGGCATGATGCCCACCAATGTTACAATATAGCCCCCTCGTACTGCAGTGACTTGCCCCGTTGTTTTGTGGTGGGTGATAAACACTATTCCTACTACTGTAACTGAGTGTCTGTAGTTTGGTGTTTACACAAGAGCTGACCCTCCTTTTTTTGTCCTACCGTGATGACCGACTCGGTGCTGCTGCTGCTGCTGCTACTGCCTTGCCGTGGGCCGTGGTTCCAATGAACTTCAGGGCCGCGCACACGACCGCTGGCGGTCACGCTTCCCCGTGAAGTGGGTATTCGCCAAGGACCTACCCAACCAACAGCTCAAGCACATCACGCTCCCGAACAACAAGCCAGTGGCAGCGGCGAAGGATTCCCAGGTTTGTTTGTTTGTGGTTTTTTGACAATATACATGCATGCAAAGAAAGAGTACCCGCGAGATAACACCATGGGTTTTGTTCGTGTCGGCTGGAGGCGATTTGTGGGCTGATTGTGACCTTGCGTGTTGGCAGCGCTGCATGACTACGGAATATCAATCGGCTGAGTGTCCCCCCGCATGCTTGCAACCGTTAATTGCTATAGTTTGGTGTCCCTGCATGTTGTCAACGCTTCCCAGCTACGGGGTATTAATGGGCTGATTTCGGCCCTCCATGTTTGCACCGCTTCGCAACTAACGAGTTTGTTGCGTCATGAGCACCAAAGAGGGTGCATGTTTGGGCTTTAACTCCGTCGAGTGATTGACACCGTGTTTATGGTTTTGCCTTTACAGGAGGTGCCGTCTGAGCAGGGGTTTGCAGATGATGCCTAAGGGAGCGCCCGAGGACGTTGTGCTTGGGCTAATTGGTCTCGTGCCCTGCATGTCATGTGCCCTGTTGTCATGTGATTTTTTGTGTTTCACAGGAGGTGCCGTTTGAGCAGGGTTTGCAGATGCTGAAGGCGTTCCACGAACACACGCACGTAACGTCGATCGTAGACGACTACGCCTTTTACGAGAACAGGGCTCTGCAGCACCAGCACCGGCCGAAGCACCAGCACCAGCAGCACGGCAGCAGCAACCACCCGGCCAACCAGTACGGTAAGATAGATGCTGTAGACCGATCACGAGAGATGATGGCTTGTACATTGAAGTCGCCAGCTCTTGAGAAGCCCTTTCTTCGCCACGAGGCTTTTTTTTTTTTTTTCTCGGGCGTACCACAGCATCGACTGACTCTCAATGTTTTTTTGTAGGATTCGTACCTCAACACCTGTTCTTGTGCTCAATTTCTTAATATGTACTCCCCAAACCCAAAAACAAGAAATTAAATCAAACACCCATATATATATTTTTTTTTATACCACACCCCTTTTAATAGCAGTTTATCTTGTTTCTTTTTCTCGCATGCGTTTGTTGTCTCCCAGGTTCTTTATCGACGTAGCGCGTACTGCTCTGTTGTTGCTCTTGTTTTCTTCTCCTGCAGCTGCCGTTTATTATGGTTTTTACGATCTCGCTTGCCAGCCCCTTTTGTCTCTAAACTGGTATTTTTATTCAACAAGTGTCCGCGTGGCTCTATAGGTTTTAACGCCCCCTACTCCGCTACTGCTGTTATTCCTTGCCCCCACCTCGCTTTTTCCAGGAAACCCCTACGCAACGCACTTCACCCCGCAGCAACAGCAGCAGCAGCACATAGTGGCCCAGCAGCAGTATCAGCAGTACCAAAACCAGCAACAATTCGTGAGTAATTGGGGTGCAATCATGACAGTCTTTTGTTTCGTCGGGCACAAGTGCGTAGGTATGGCTTTGGTTGATGCTGAAAATTTGGTTATTGTACGATTTCATCCGTCGTTCATTGTTTGAGGTTGCTTTTGCTGCGCAGGTTTGCGTTTCGGTGGCGTGTGTCGCGTATTGGATACATGCTCTTGAGTGCCTTTTGGTTCCTGGACGGCACTGCGACCTCAAACTTAACACTTTGTCACAACCAGACAATCTATTGTTGGGGTTTGCAGCATTTTTCGCGTATGTTATCGACGCTTCCGGTGCTTCTTTTCCAGATTTCTCCCTGTGTTGTTGGTTTTACCCTGTGCAACCGTGAAAAAAGGCCGTGTGCTGCCTTTCCTTCCCTTCCCTTCTCTTCCCTTTCTCCTGGGCCAATAGTCTCGTCGACCATGTACGACTGTATACTATAATAGAGCTGTAAGACTGGCGGCTGGATACATGTGACGAAAAAAAACAAGGCTGGGCTTTGCGAATGGCCGTGCCTGGGCAGTAACACACTTGGCGCGCATCGGCAAAATCTGACGCTTGTGCCGCCTTCTTTCATGTTTTTTGGTGTGTGCCGAAACGATTTGGTTTTCAGCAGGCACCAGCATACGGGGGTGGGCGCAACAACGACAACGGGGGAGGTGGCGGGGGAGGTGGCGGGGGAGGTGGCGGGGCCGCATCTAGAAAGAACACCAAGGTGAGAAACTAAACTGAGAAACACTTGTCTTCTTTTCCCCCTCTGAGATTTCCCTTATGTCGAAAAAGTGGGCCGACAGCTAATAGGAACGCATGGTTTCGAGGAGCTATTGTACTACTGTGTACTGTATTTTTGCCGTATTCGTTGTAGGTCGTTTGTCGGGGAGAAACAGACCACTAAGAGAAACGCGTCGTTTTGACAACACGTTGGTGGTGTCGTTTTATGTCTCATCGTTCCTTGGGGGAATATCCCATCCCGCCGCTATCATGAGTAACATCAGAGGCCTTGACCCGAGCGCAGCCGTCAATGGTACGCCCCGGTTCTCCCCGGAGAAGGAGACAGCCCACGATACGTGCTCGGCACGCGAACAGGTGTGCCCATTTAAGGCGAACACCGCGAGAGGTGATACCTTGCGCAACAAGAGTGCCAAGCACTAAATACAACGTCGCCTGGTGTCGTGCCGTTTTGTTTTCATGTCTTTGATTTCGTGCAGAAGAAAAAGGGCAGCGGCAAGGGTAAGCGCAGCGGCGGAGGCGGCAGCAAGGGGTCATCGGGCTCCAGCAGCGGCGCCAAGGCGGCCAATGGAACCGGGGACGATAGCGCGGTATCCCCCACGGGGGACGACGACGCCGTATCCCCGTCCGAAAGCAAGGAGGCGTCGACGGGCAAGGAAGGGGACCAGGTGCGGCGCGACTTACTTTGTGCACCCCACTGTTAGGGTCTCTGCGGCATCCTACCTTTCCCACTCAAGTTATGCTATCGTGCAGAGTCGTTTTCCAAGATAGGTCGTGAGAAACTTACGCCCCGGGGATCCAGTTCAGCAACAAGTATCTCCACGCACGATTGTCCGGTGCGTTGTTCTCACCTCTCCCCTCCTCTCCCACACGAACGCACATTGCCATTTCATTTCTCCCTTGTTGCCGGTCCTTTTTGCCGGTCCCCAGGCCGGCGGCGCAGCGGTCGACCCATCGGCCGCTGCCGCCACCGCTACTTCCTCCTCCACTTCCAAGCCGGTCTCCGAAGGCGGGGATAAGGGTGCCGGCGCTGACTCCGCTGCCGCCGCCGTGGACGGCCAAGAGACTAAGGCTAAGGCTAAGCCTAAGGGTGACGACGCGCCGCCCAAGGAGGCGGACAAGAAGGAAACGCCAGCGGCGGCGGCGGCGGGCGAGGTTGCTTCGACGAAGGATAAGGAGGTGGGAGAGGGATGGATACACCTCGGGTTCGTGGTGCTGCCTTTGTGCCCTGACCGGTCTTTGACGGGATGTGTCCTGTAGAGACGAAAGTAACGAGAGAGTATCGCGACATGCATGCAAACAATGTTGTTTCTCTGGTGGTGCGCCTCTTGGATTTTTTCTTGGGCTAAGCGGTTTGGGTTATGGCATGGCAATGATGCCGGCCGAAGGCGACCACTTGATCGTGACGGAGCGGCGGTGTGTTGTAGGGAAGGCTGTGAGGCCATCGGGATGCTTGAGTTGGAGTGGGAGCGGCTGAATGACGTACGTCAGTCACTGTGGGGAAAAAGGTATCTATTATAGTACAGGTGTCTTTGCGTGGTGTTGCCCCCTTCCCCCCACATCCATTCCCCGTAGGCATCCACTCCAGACGCCTACAACTGTTGAGATTCTCCACGCAAGACGTCTACCACATGATACCCTTCCCGACACGAACCAATTCTACACAAAACCCGCTGTGTTTTCGTTTCGTTTTTGTGACAGGCTGCGCCGGTGGTAGCAGCGGCGGCGGCCACCGCGGAAAGCTGAGGGCGAGCTGCAAGAATGCCACATAGAGCCGAGGCACGGCTGCTGCAGATGCCAGAAGCAACAACAAACAGCAGCCTCGAGGGGGAGGCCTTGAAAATTGCCAAGCTTGGGCCTGAGGCAAGCAAGCTACAGACAGACGTGGACGAAGGTCAAGAGCGAAGAGGCGAGGGTATTGCGGGTTGTTGAGCTAGAGCCGTAATTGTGCGAAATCAGAGCCGAGGGGGGGCACGGAAGAACGGTAAATGCCAGAGAGCAGTCAGTACAAGGGAAGTTGTGGAAGCCGAGGACTGGCTCACGGAGAGCTGTGGGAGAGCTCTGTTTGCCCTTGCAGGCACAGAAGCGCCAAGAGCCATATGCGAAAGGGGGACGGCGGCGTCGGACCGGCCGATCGCCTTGACTCACATCAGTGTTGTTCTGGGCGAGAAGACGCATTGCCGATGGTGCATGGTGGTTTGGTTGAAGGTTAAATGTTGCGTGAAGGGGAAAGGTGTATTTTTTAGTGTCGGGGTGGGAGGGGGTGTCTCTCGTGGATTGAGAGCGACATGTGTCTCCGGGCGGCGTCATGGAGTGTGCCAATGTTGGACCTGTCATGTTGTCCAGTACGTCTTTGGGGTGGGCGAGGTTTGAGCGAGAAGTACTCACATGATGCCGTTTTGGTTTGAAGGCGGTGTAAGTCGGTCAATGACCAGTGGTACGATAATATCGCTGCTTGTGTTGGTGCTTTGTTTTGGTGCGTGAGACCACTTGAGAGCGGAAGGAGTTTGCGGTGGAAGTGGCTGAAGAGGGTGGCTCGTTTGATGGCACTACCCCAGCCACACGGAGGCGAGCAAGCGTTGATGGATGCTCTTTGTGGTGGTGGGAATCGATGGGACGACGAGGGTATTATACGATCGATCTCTCTTGCTTGCTCTTGTTCATTCGCTTGGCTTTGATGTTTTTTTGTACGAATGGCGTGGAGGTTGGAGGCACTTGCGGTCTAAATTTGTTCTGGTTGCACTCGTTCACTTGCGAGGGGGAGGCGTAGGTCGTCGTGCAGCGCCGTTAGCCCGCCCGTTCTCCACAAAAGAGGCACGAACGAAACTCGTCACGTTTTCCCCGACCTGGTCTCGATAGTGTACGGCCAAGCTGAAATCCCCAAGGACAACGGATTCAACCCGTTGGTCTTCGTTGGCTCGCGTTCTCTCAGCACGGAACACAGGCCGCAAGCCCGCTTTTGAACTAAGACTATCCTACATCAAGGCTTGTGGGAGTATTGTACTCCATCCACGACACGTACGTCTGTTTTATACCCCATTTGATGTTGTTCACTGCTGTTAGTTGCGGGAGTGCACTGCCGGGGAAAAGGTTTGGTTTTCTTTACTACATTTTTTTTCTCCGTTTTCTTCTTGTCAGGGGAAAGGGAGGGGGGCAAGGCACGCGTATGATAGATAGGTCAATGTTTTGGGCGACTCACCACTCGCTTGTCGCTTCCTTCCGTTGTTCTTTCTTTGGTTTGGACGCCCCGTTCAGAGGCAATCATGCGGACACCTGCCAACGGATCACGGCGTCCTGTAGCACACGGGAATCGACAGTTAATACAGAGGGAGACAGAGTAGGGCGCCGAGAACATGGCGTTTCATTTTTTTTGTCTCTGGCTTTTTGCGGTATGTGCTGTTGCACACATCTCGTTCCTTCGGGGGGGTATAGCCCACTCCCCTCCCCTAGGAGATCCGTACCGTTCCCTTCGCTCCACCTCTCGATAGTTGGTAACTCGTCTTGTTTCGTGTGACTTTTCTTTGGCATGCCGGGGACAACGTGTGAGCGATGGTAGCGTAGCAACGGGTTTCCGCCAATCACTCAGATCGTCATGTCGTTGCTGGGTTCCGTGACGTGGGATGGATGCCTCCACCAGACGCCTGATGCTTTCCCGTTCAAGGGCGCTCCCTGTTAGCGATCTCTCTGATTGGCCAAGCTCTTCAACACGTGGTGCTCTCTGGTTCACATTGAATCACTGGCTGTTTTACTTTTATGTTTCATGTGTGTTGGGCGTTGTTTGTTGTAACCAACCCTCGGTCGAACGTGTCCCGCGGTCGGCGTGCATTCGTCTTGACGTTTCTTGGTGTTACTCGTATATAAAGTACTTCGATTTTCCCTTGCCGCAGTCTCGCTTTGTTCCCCGCTTTTGCCCCCTCCCATGCCACTCGTTTTCCTCTCGGCGGGGGGCTCGACTTGGGACGGGGA